ACGTTTCTAAACAATCATAGTTTTTTGCACCACCTGAAACCCCTTTTTGCGAATCTGACATCACAAAAATCAACTATCTGAATACTATACATGATGTGTGTTTGAAGACTTTGTTCGAATGTTTTCAAAATGTAGGGGTTCAAACTTTTTTAGAAGAAAGTATCGAACTTGTTTCAAATGATGTGTCAGATGATTTTCGTATGATTGGCAGGTTCTGAAATGGTTCTGAATACATGCGAGGGAAGTTCTATTGGGGTTTTGGAAACCTTGTTATGGACATGTTGGCGACACCTATTGACATTTATGCGGTGTAAAAATGGTGCTTTGCTGTGTTTTGTTACATGTTTGAATTGGATTTCGACATAGTTTAGCAGAGTGTCAATGCCTGTAAATTATACAGTTGGAAGAGAGCATCATGTATGTTTTTTTACCTTGTACACAGCCATAATTACACCTTGCACAAGGTTCGATAATGCCTCGACCCAACACCAAACATCCTTTTCCATGTATCCCATCGACATACGATGTGTGCTCGCAAAAAACAGAAAAATAGGAATTAAAAACGCTACAACATTCCTTTTGCTTCATATCCCTGCATCTAGTCTCCTACTGTCACATTGTCACTGCCTTTTACTGGTAATCTGACTTGCTGCTGCAATCCCCTACTCGTCTCCAATCGCACTAGTTGGCCTGGAGTTCCTAACTGCTGTGACCTATGCTGCCCCTTCTTCGCTTTCCCAAATGCTCTGTGTCTACTCTACTCCCCTGGCTGCTGTGACTGCTCTTCTTCCCACTCTTGTGACTGCTCTTCTTCCCCCGCTGCTTCCTCAACTTTGCTCCCCACCTGTTGTGACTACTAAGCTTGACCCGCTGCTGTGATTCTTCGCCTCTCCCACTGAATACATTCTCTTCTCCCACTGCTGCCCCTTCTTCGCTCCCCCCCTTGTTGTGACTTCTTTGTTCCCTCCTTGCTGCCCCTTCTCTGCTCCCCACACTGCGGAGACCTTTGCTCCCCAGCTGCTGCCCTTTCTATTCGTCCCCCACTGCTCAGTGACTACTCTACTCCCCTGGCTATTGTTTATTTGGAGCTCCCCCCACTGTTGTGACTACTCTCCTTCCCCGCTGCTGCCCCTTCTTTGCTCCCCCCTATTGTAACTACTCTGCTTGACAAGCTGCTGCCACTCCTCTGCTCCCCCCACTGCTCCCCCTTCTCCACTCCCCCCACTGTTGTGATTACTCTGCTCCCCCTGCTGCCCCTTCTCCGCTTCCCCAAATGCTCTGTGTCTACTCTGCTTCCCGCACTGCTGCCTCTTTGGAGCTCCCCCCACTGTTGTGGCTGCTCTTCTTCCCCCGCTGCTGTCCTTTTCCGTTCCCACCTTGCTGTCATTACTCTGCTTGACCCGCTGCTACCCCTTCTCCGCTCATCCCACTGCTATGACTGCTCTACTTCATCTGCTGCTGGTCCTTCTCCCATACCCCCTCTGTTTTTATTACTCTGATTTCCTGTTTGCTGTTCCACTGCTACACACTCCACTCCTGCTCCTCCCAGCATCACAGCATTGCTGCCCCCAAGAAAATACCTACTGCCTCTCACAGCTGCCATACCCCGCTGCTCCGCTGCGGTCTCACAGCTCAACATAGCTTCCCTTTTTGCTGTCCATCTCATACTCTCCCTACTGCTACTCCTCCACAGCACACCCCACACCAGTTCTGCAGCTTACCCCTCCACTGCTGCGTCACCGTGTCTCCCCACTCCACCTTTCTCTGCCTCTCGCACTGTTTACAACCCGCTGCTCCTCTTCGTTGCAACTTCCACTCTAGTTCAGTCAAGCAACCACCCTCCCCACCGGAGTGCGGGTGCTTGGTGTGGCCCTATACTCCTCAAAGCCCGACTCGTGGACAAAAAGGCCGAATGGCCCCCATTCGAAACCCTTCATGCGGGGGTTGTAGGTCGGACTGGCCTGGGTGAAGTGATCCCTCACCACCCTTTTCACAAGGGCGCGGATGCTTGTCACCCATTTGGTGTTCTTACGGTGGGAGTTGGTGAGGTTCATTGTCGTCTTGTTTGTCTTTGACAATCCGTAATCGATCTGTACAGTGATGGAGTTTGGAGGGATTTGTGGATCATGTTTCAAAGGGGGAAACAGTGAAGTATTGGGAGCACCGTGCATGGCATGCAAGGATGGAAAGCAAATTGAAACATTTGTTGAAACCCAAGCAAGGAATGGGGTAGAAGAACACAATGAATTGGGGACAACGAGAGGGAGAAAGAATCTGCTCACCACCATGATAATCCACGCAATGTGATACGCCTTGATGCACAACTTTGTCCCCACAGCATATTCACCAAAGGCATCCATGGCAGCATCGAAGAAGCACTTGTTGGCGAATGGGAGGCCGGACTCCTCATCATTCCCCCATGTGCTTAGTGGATCATCGGCAGCTGCAGCAGTTGGGTTTGGAGGGGGTTGGGGAGGGAACATGTGGGGCATTGGCAGGCCAATCTGGTCGGTCGAAGGAAAACGGGAAACGGTAAGAGAGAAACAGTGACCAGGGAAGGGGGTTGGGGGTGTAACCCCCCCAAAATCATGCAATACAAGGCATTGTGCGATGGAATACTCACTTGGGCAGTAGGTGCCCCAAAGATCGCACTTCAATTCCACGTCGATGTGTAACTCTGATGCACGCAGCCCACTAACTGCCACCCCCAGGGCCTCGAGCACCATCACAAAAATCCTGCGTCCAGAAAACCTTTGGAAAGAGTTGCTTTAAAGCTTTGTTGAATGATTTATAAACTTCTTGTTTGGTACGCTATTTTGAGAAAGTATATACCTTTTTCTGGATGCTTTGTCGAACGCTGTTCACATGCTTCTGCGATGCTTCTCTGTTCAAACCTCTCAGGTGAAAACCTTCGGCAGAAGTTTGGTTGGAGTTTCCGCAGAGCAATTTCGGAGATTGGATCTCATTGCATTGTACTCTTCAAGGACATCCGGTTTAGTTATAATGAAGTTGGATTGGAGACTTGCAATGGTTAACATGTTGTTTAACAAGATGTTTAGTTGCCTCATCCTAGCATCCAAAATGACCATTACAGAAGCGTTGGTAAATGGGTTCTATTCTCAACAAAAAAGGCACATACAACAGCATCCTACACCCCACCCTCTCTAGTCAAAGACCCCCGCCAGTTAGGGTGATCTGCATCAACCTGCTTCTCATGCTCCCGTAAACTATGCCTCCCACTACACCCCATGTCTCGTGCTCTAGGCCGAGCATGCTCGCCCCTACACCTAGCCCCCATGATCCATGCCTTGGCTGCGACCCCACTTCCTGCCTCTCTTCCTGCATCTCCCATCCCTCCTTCACTAATTGTGGTACTATTGCCCTGCCCATGCGTCCACTGCTTCCTCACATGTCCAGCCCTGTCATGCGTCTGCTGCTCCGCCTTAGACATCCTCCAGTCAAGCCGTTACTGCTGCTTGCTTTGTCCTATCCGGTCATGCCTATACTGCTGCGGCCCTTGCACCACTCCCCTCCGTAATGCTGTCCCCCTTTCTCTATCCACACGTGCCTTCCCTGATGCCCCCCTTGCTGTCTCCACCAATGCCTCTCCTCGCACGTATGTGATGCCTCTCCTGCTGTCCCCTTTTGTAAACTCCACGCATGCCTCATCTGCAGCCCCCCTTGTCTCGTCACACCATCATTTGGCCCTCTTGCCTCCCCTTCTTTTGCCATTTTCGTGCCTTTTGCCCTTCCTCCGCTCCTGGCCCCCCTGCTTCTCATCCTCATCCTCATCCTCTTCCTCCTCTTTCTCCTCTTCCTCCTCTTCCTCCTCTTCCACTTCCCTCCAACTTCCCTTGCCTCTGCCTCTCTTGTGCTTTCTACCCTTCCTCCGCGACTGCCCCCCCTGTTTCTCATCCTCCTGCTCCTCCTCTTCCTCATCTTCCTCCACTTCCTCTTCCCTCCTGCTTCCCTGCCCTCTGCCTCTCTTGTGCTTCCTGCCCTTCTTCCGCTCCTGCCCCCCCTGTTTCTTATCCCCCAGCTCCTCTTCCTTCTCCTCTTCCTCGTCCGCTTCCCTCCTGCCTTCCCTGGTTTTCCCTCCCTTGTGCCTTCTGCCCTTCCTAAGCTCTTGCCCCCCCCGTTTCTCATCCTCTTCCTCATCCCTCCCGCCTGCCCTAGGTCTCTTGTGCCTTTTCCTCTTCCTCCGCTCCTGCCCCCACTGTTCCTCGTCCTCCTCCTCCTCCTCCTCCTCCTCCTCGTCCTCCTCCTCGTCATCCTCCTCCTCCTCCTCCTCCTCCTCATCCTCCTCCTCCTTATCCTCCTCCATGTCCTCCGAGTTGTACACCTCCTTTTCTTCCTCCTTCAGGTCCTTCGTTTTGGCATCAAGCTCAGCCTTCCCCCGGAAGGCCTCAAATCCTGACTCGTGAACATACAGCCCACGGTCGCCCCACTTGAAGTCCTTCATGTCTGTGTTGTACACAGGGGTGTGGCGTGTGAAGTGGTCCTTGATAATCCACCGCACATTACGGTGCAAACCCCCCATCCATTCACTGTTCTTCCGGTGGGAGTTGGAGACGTTCCAGTCAGTCCTCTTAACCTTTGATAAGCCCTGGTCAATCTGAAAAGGCATAGCACAGTATGGGATGGAGGAAAAACAGCAACTTCAGTGGACACTCGCGTGCAGAGTTTAGAGGCTGCGCTAAATGCCCCACATACCATGCCGAGGGACTATAAAACAGCATGCCAAGCTAGAGCATACCATGGGTTGAGCAATAATTGCGTACCACCATGATTGACCAGGCAATGTGGTGTGCTTTGACGCACACCCGGCGCCCGACACAGAAATTCCGAAATGCTTCCCGGACTGCATCTACAAACCGGCCGTCGGCAAACGGGAGCCCGTCTCTGTTGTTTCCCCACGAGCTGACCCGTTGTTTCCCTCCTGCGCGCATGTATGACAATGCGGGGAAGCATGAGACATCCGTGATCATGCATGACATGGTTTAGGGTTGTCCAAAGGGTATGGATGAACATCGAGGGCGGGGGGGAATGAATGGCGAGAGGGCGGGAGAGCAGGGGTGGGCGGGAGATAGGGGGAGGGCGGGAGAGAAGGGGAGGGCGGGAGAGAAGGGGAGGGCGGTAGAGGAAGGGAGGGCGGGAGAGAAGGGGGTGGCGGGAGAGAAGAGGAGGGCGGGAGTTAAACGGGGGGCGGGAGAAGGGGAGTGTGGGAGAAGAACCAACGGATGGCTGTCATGCGGATGTGTTTGCACATGCGCTACAAGCTTGGGCGAGGAGAGCAGGTATGTAGTCGCGTGCCAAAGTGGGGATGCATTGGGGGTATGTGCTTCATCAACGTGGGGCATGCACGAGGGGTGCATGAGAAGACATGTCAATAGGGGATGGAAAACAGTCACGCAAGTACTCACTCGGTTGGTATTTTTTCCACATCTTCCGCTTCTTCTTGGTGCCCATCCACAGTTCGGCTGCACGCAGGCCTTCCACCTTCTTGCCGAAAGTGACGAGCACTCTGCGCTTGAGGTGGAAGCCACGTTCGTTCTTCCATGACGTCCAGGCGCGTTTAAAAGCGCCTATGATGTTTTTGTCTTCCATAGCCTCTCGCAGCTGCATCATGTTGATGATGTGCGTCTCGCTGATAACCTCGTACAACACCTGCACGCGCTGTTCGAGCGTTGGGTAGAAGTCTATGGCATGGTCTGGCGCCTCGAGGCACATCCGGTCCCGCCCCTCTGCGAAAAGAACCTACGACAGCCGGATGGATAGGAAAAAAGGATATGTGGGTGACTCCCAAAGAAGGGCGGAAACCAGAGGTCGAGAGAGTGGGATTTGGGTAACACGTGCCGCAGGCCACCCACACCACCACCAGCACCATGAACAGGGGCTCTGGTTGAGGTAGGGGAGAGCAGGGAGATAGAGGGGGGAGAGAGGGGATGAACTAGTCTGAGTGAAATCATATGGGAGAGGGAGCAGAGTGTGAGAGCACCGTACGGACTGCGTAAGGGGTCATGTTCTCCTCGTACTAAGAGTCACAACCCCCGCTGCAGCCCGGCCCGCTACACACTGCGCGGCATGCCACACACGCGACCAGAAGCACCGTTTAGAGGGGCTCTGGAAGAGGAGGGAGAAGGGTGGGATAGAGAAGGGGGGGGGAGGAGCAAGCGGAAAGAAGGGATTGGGCACGTGGGGATGACAGAGAGGGCTGCTGCTATCTCTGCGCCGCATGCCACCCACACCAGACCAGCAGCACCGTTTAGAGGGGCTCTGGAAGAGGAGGGAGAGGGGTGGGATAGAGAGGGGGGGGAGGAGCAAGCGGAAAGAAGGGATTGGGCACGTGGGGATGACAGAGAGTGCTGCTGCAATCTCTGCGCCGCATGCCACCCACACCAGACCAGCAGCACCGTTTAGAGGGGCTCTGGAAGAGGAGGGAGAGGGGTGGGATAGAGAGGGGGGGGAGGAGCAAGCGGAAAGAAGGGATTGGGCATGTGGGGATGACAGAGAGGGCTGCTGCTATCTCTGCGCCGCATGCCATCCACACCAGACCAGCAGCACCGTTTAGAGGGGCTCTGGAAGAGGAGGGAGAGGGGTGGGATAGAGAGGGGGGGGGAGGAGCAAGCGGAAAGAAGGGATTGGGCGCGTGGGGATGACAGAGAGGGCTGCTGCTATCTCTGCGCCGCATGCCACCCACACCAGACCAGCAGCACCGTTTAGAGGGGCTCTGGAAGAGGAGGGAGAGGGGTGGGATAGAGAGGGGGGGGAGGAGCAAGCGGAAAGAAGGGATTGGGCACGTGGGGATGACAGAGAGTGCTGCTGCAATCTCTGCGCCGCATGCCACCCACACCAGACCAGCAGCACCGTTTAGAGGGGCTCTGGAAGAGGAGGGAGAGGGGTGGGATAGAGAGGGGGGGGAGGAGCAAGCGGAAAGAAGGGATTGGGCATGTGGGGATGACAGAGAGGGCTGCTGCTATCTCTGCGCCGCATGCCATCCACACCAGACCAGCAGCACCGTTTAGAGGGGCTCTGGAAGAGGAGGGAGAGGGGTGGGATAGAGAGGGGGGGGGAGGAGCAAGCGGAAAGAAGGGATTGGGCGCGTGGGGATGACAGAGAGGGCTGCTGCTATCTCTGCGCCGCATGCCACCCACACCAGACCAGCAGCACCGTTTAGAGGGGCTCTGGAAGAGGAGGGAGAGGGGTGGGATAGAGAGGGGGGGGGAGGAGCAAGCGGAAAGAAGGGATTGGGCGCGTGGGGATGACAGAGAGGGCTGCTGCTATCTCTGCGCCGCATGCCACCCACACCAGACCAGCAGCACCGTTTAGAGGGGCTCTGGAAGAGGAGGGAGAGGGGTGGGATAGAGAGGGGGGGGAGGAGCAAGCGGAAAGAAGGGATTGGGCACGTGGGGATGACAGAGAGGGCTGCTGCTATCTCTGCGCCGCATGCCACCCACACCAGACCAGCAGCACCGTTTAGAGGGGCTCTGGAAGAGGAGGGGGAGGGGTGGGATAGAGAGGGGGGGGGGGGGAGCAAGCGGAAAGAAGGGATTGGGCGCGTAGGGATGACAGAGAGGGCTGCTACTATCTCTGCGCCGCATGCCACCCATACCAGACAAGCAGCGCCATGAACAGGGGCTCTGGAAGAGGAGGTGGAGTGACGGGAGAGAGGGGGGGGGGAGGAAATAGAACAGTTATGGTGAGCTCGCAGAGGTGGGGCAGAGTGTGAGAGTATCGTACGCCCAGCACCAGCGTCCGTGAAGCGGGGCGTACTGGGAGTGCCTATCACACCGCAGCCAGGCCGCTATCACTGCGCATAATGGTACAAACACTCTGACCAGCATAAAGAGGTGGGGGGAACGAGGTGTTGAGAGAGAGAGCTGCAGCTATCACTGAGCCCCATGCCACACATTGCTTAACACTTAAACATACCCACCTTCAGCAGCTTGGGCTTGGGCATCCCACGCGTTTGACAGACCGGTACGTCTACCGTCGATGGGCTTTCTGGCGCCACGCCTGGATCGAGGCCCACTGCAGATGGGCCGCTCGACAGAGACGCAATAGGAGGAGGCCTAGACGGAGGGGTGCAGGGTTTGACAGGTCCTTTGGCTCCTGGCCTTGCCTTGAGTGCCGCAATTTCGCGATCCCGCTGGGCAAGCTCCCGCATGAGCTGCTCCACCGTCTTGCCGCCAGCCACGTTGGGCCGACTGGATGCGCCAGGTGTGCCCATGCTCTCGCCCCTCCCCTCCTTAGTCGCTGGATCCATTTTCAAGTCTCCTCCTTCTCCCTTGCTATCCCGTACATCCCACATGGAGCCTTCCACACCGCCGCCACATTCACCCAAGGAATTCGCCCACACACCTCCTCCCACACCGTCATTGGCTGCTGCGGCGGCCGAGGGTTCGTGCCGCTTCGTTGCTCCCTCGATTTTCACCTGAACCGCGTGACCCCCCGAAAGCTTTGCATGCGGGTCCGTCGCTTCCCTGCCAAACCGCGCTGACCCCCAAGCGATCGGATCTCCCTTCCCAGACGAATCCATCTGCTCGCGTAACGCAGCATACGTGTCGGTGGCTTTCCGATCATGAGGGCTTGATGGACATCGTAGCCCCATGGACTCGTAAAAATCCAACTCCCGCTTCTCCTTGCTACGCACACCCACAATTTTAGCTTCGAATCGAGGTCTCTGGCGCTTGCCATGTGGTTTGGCACGACGCACACTCTGCTTATAGCTCTTCACCCGTCCTGTCTCCGATTTTTGCTTTCCATTGCCCTTCTTGGTCTTCCGCACACCCCTCCTCTTCAAAGGCCGAGCCTCCTCCTCATCCTCGCTCTCCGGCTCCAACTCCTCATCCTCCTCTTCCTCTTCCTCCTCCTCCTCGTCCTCGTATACTTCCTCACTCCCGGATGAGCTGCCTGACTCACTATCGCTGGATCCCTCCTCCGAACCCGACGAGCTCGAAACATACTGTTTCGTCCCTTGTCGAGCTTGTCTCGCATTTCGGTCGCGACCGGCCGAGTCCACAGCATTGCGTCGTTTGTACGGAATCACAGCTTCACGTCCATGTTCTTTCCCAGCAGTCACTGCTGCAGGCTTGTCCTCATCGTGATCGATACCGCCACCACCTCGCTGCTCTGCTAGCCCTGCAGCGAGAGGGATATGAGAGAGACAATCTCGGTGTCACGTCACTCACGACATAGTTGCTGGTGCAACAGGTAACAATATACAAGGAGGGTGGCAGCGAAGGCTATGCAACCTCAAAATCAACGACAAAAGTAGCCAGGAACCGCCAACCTTCTATAACGGGCCTGGGCAGCGCCTGCTCGTTGCCACCAGCCACATCCAGCGAGAGCCTCCCTGAGGGACTGCCCTTGGCCGCCGCCGCCGCCTTCTCGTTGTTGCGCTTTCCACCACCACGCCCTTCAAGCTCGCCATGTTCCTGCTCGTCGCCACCAGCCACCTCCTGCGAGAGCCTCCCCGAGGGACTGCCCTTTGCCGCCGCCGCCTTCGCGTTGTTTCGCTTTCCACCACTACGCCCTTCAATCTCGCCATGTTCCTGCTTGTCGCCACCAGCCACGTCCTTCGAGAGCCTCCCCGAGGGACTGCCCTTGGCCGCCGCCGCCGCCTTCGCGTTGTTGCGCTTTCCACCACCACGCCCTTCAAGCTCACCATGTTCCTGCTCGTCGCCACGCGCAGACATTCCTAGGCGGCCAGATGGACTGCCAGGATACTCCGCAGCCCTCCCGCTACGGTCATAACATCTACCGCGTTGTCTTGCACGCCTGCCTGCTGACGGAGCTGCGAGGGCGGACATCACAAGAACATTAGCAGTCCAGTGCGCGCTAACCTTAATTGCACAAAGTGGCATCAGTATGATCAGTCGATGCAGGGAGTAACGTGCTACTTAGAAACCGGCGATATTACACAAACACGCACCTTCTTTGACGGGTCCGCCGTCCTCGACCTCCTCGTCGCCTTCAGACGCAGCATGTGAAGTAGTGCCTCTCTTTTGTTGACGGCGCTTACGCCCCTTTCGGTTGTCATGCTTGTCCTCTGACAATGTTACGGGGGAGCACAATCGGAGCTTCAGTAACGGGAACAAGTCAAACACGACGGCAAACCGCACTTACTGGATCGGTCGGAGGTAATTAATCATGCAAGTCTACCTTTCAGCAGATGGTACCAAAGACACGTACCTTTCTGGCCGGCTTTGGGACCGATGTCATCTAAGCGCCTCACGCGCCTCTCCCTTGGTTTTGGAGGGGAGGACACGCCCTTGTTAGCGTATGGCCCAACATCGCCGTCGCTATTTGATTCGTCACCAGATGAAGAGTCACGTCCTGACTCAACGTTATCACGCACCGACGACGCATTGTACTTGCGGTACTCGTTAACGATCTCGGCCATTTTATCTACTGTAACTAACTCCATATAAAATTTTTCCTCCAGCAATTTCGACGAGTCTGCCAAAACGATCGCCCCATCGGGCCCCTTAATCGTCTGACTATCCATTGCAATGTCTAGGTTTCCATTCACGCAGTAGTCTGAGGTGTGGGTTAGTTATGACGTTGCAACCTGACAGCTACGCTTCGCGCACTAAAAAATTGTTGAGCATAGAAGGGACGAGGATCAGACAGGGGCCTGGAGCAGATGACCGACCCACAAGCAGGCACGCAAGAGGAGCACGGAGGTGACGAGGGTTTGAGTGTTTCCTGCTCTGTTCCACCTTGCGACATCCAGGTCCCTCGTTTCCCCCAACAACCAATCACACGGTGGTTAACGTGCATCCATAAAAAAATTGCGGCTCCAATGGGGCATGATTCAGTGGGAGTGGGCGTTTATCTGTCCATTAGCGGCAGGGAGCGATACAAAATGTTGCTAGTGCTTAAACGTGCGCTAGTGTATTAGGGCTCACGAAATATATCTATTCTGCCCGCACAGACTTTATGTGGCGAATTTTCATAGTCTTTCACGCGTGCCGCACGAAGCTTGGCGCAGGCGTCACGTCAATAGTAAAATCGCCACTTCGGAGAAACGGGGACGAACCATTGGCGCAGTTCGTACAGCGATGCGACAGTCTGATACGAAGCCGTTATGGAACACCTGCGATAAGAACGCATGCTCGGGAGTTAGTTGTGAGTGGTGGCGATTGGGTCGCAAGTCGGAGAGAACAACGTTCGTGGCAATGAACTGAGGTAAGTGGTATGGTGCACGGGGGGCACAAAATGACACATTTATTTGCAAGGCTGCAATACAGTGTTGAAAGAACATATAAATCATTACTACCAAAGGAATGTTGAGCTGTCCAATACCGTACGTTTACTCACAAGTATGAGCACCGACAGTGCATAACCAGACACATCCTTCACGGACCAACTGTCAAATTGTTTAAGGAGAGCAGTGACCCTGTTACCTTGATTGTTGTTTAAATATGGTCTAGGTAAATAATATATTGGTGTCGCAACAAGGTAGCTACTGGTATGTCATTTGTGGTGCAACATTACCAGTGCCATACACAAACAGTTGGGCTGAAAAGCCCTTAGGATCTTTGCAAGGGTGAACTCTGGGTAGACTTGGTGTAGTAGCGGAAGCGTTAATTAAAGTGTTGTGAACCACCTTGCGCTAGTATGTGAGGGCAAAGTAAGTTGATTAAAGCAAAGAGATACAAGATTATAAAAGAGTACAAGGAATACGAAGAGATACGGTTGCAACTACTTTACTGTTGCTGTTGCGGTTCGATACAGTGACGACTCGGGCAACTGCTCTGCAGCGAGTCAGTTGTGTGTCCTTGCTGTCGCGCTGTACTTGTCAGGTCAAAGGTCGCTGACCTTTGACCTTCGCGTAACCTCCGACAGTTACTTCAACCTCCGAGGGTTGACTCGCTGGTGCTTCGATACCGTAGTGTTTTGCTTCGTTTGTGTCTTGGTGTTTCGACACGACACAGGCGCTTAGGACCGATTGTTTCCAACACAAACTCCCATCATGGGGCGTGTCTGCACTCTTGTCCTGTAGGGCAGCTATAGTGCATAAATCAATTGCTTGATATGTTGTATGTTCTTATTTCATGCTTGACAGGAGGTGACAAACACTTGCTGTTTGGTCATGTGAGTGATGGGGACTGTTTCGAAGCCTCACCCACGCGTTCTGTGACTTGCTTGTTGGCTTGTCACGATGGACTGGACGGTGGGACAAATAGATCCTCCTTATAGGTCTTGTTTGACAACATAGGCCCAATAAGTTCACCCTATGCTGAGACCTGCTACCCGCCTCATCCCCTCCTGCTCCCTGCTACCTGCCTATGCCTCATTCCCCCTTGCTACCAGCCTCATTCCCCCTTGCTACCTGCCTCGTTCCCCCTTGCTACCTGCCTCATTCCCCCTTGCTATCCACCTCATGCCCCCTTGCTACCCTGCTCATTCCCCCTTGCTACTTGCCTCGTTCCCCCTTGCTACCTGCCTCATTCCCCCATGCTACCAAACTCATTCCCGA